ATTAATAAAGGTAATGAGAACATCATCCCACTTTATGGGTCCGCGAGTTTTATTTTCAAAATCCAATTGTACATCTCATAGGTCATCCCTTAATGATCATCTCTGCCGAAAATAAAAAGAATATGAACCATATGACGGTTGAATTGAAAGCATAGTGCCCGAAATACAAATTTTCCTATTAATACGGGTAATGAGAACATCATCTCACTTGATTTGTCAACGAGTTCTGTTTCGAAAATTCAACTGTACATCTCATAGTTCATCCCTTAAATATCATCCATGCCAAAAATGAAAAGAATACGAAAATATATAAAGGTTGAATTGAAAGAAAAGTGCTCAAAATAGATATTTTCAAATTAATATGGGTAATGAGAACATCATCCCACTTTATGGGTCCACAAGTTATATTTTGAAAATCCAACTGTACATCTCATAAGTCATCCCTTAAAGATCATCTTTGCCAAAAACAAAAAAGAATATGAAACTCTATCGTTGTTGAATTGAAAGAAAAATGCTAGAACTGCAGATTTTTTAAGTAATACGGGTAATGAGAACATCCTCCCACTTTATGGGTCTACGAGTTGTATTTCGAAAATCTTACTATATATCACATAGGTCATCCCTTGAAGATCATCTATACTTAAAATAAAGAGAATATGAAACTATATGTCCCCTGAATTAAAAGAAAAGTACCTGAAATACAAATTTTCGAATTAATATGGGTAATGAGAACATCATCCTACTTTACTGGTCTACGAGTTATATTTTGGAAATTCAAATTTACATCTCATAGATCATTCCTTGACGATCGTTTCTACCAAAATTAAAAATAATATAAGACCCTTGAATTGAAATAAAAGTGTTCGAAATACAAATTTTTGAATTAATATGGGTAATGAGAACATCATCTCACTTTACTGGTCTACAAGTTATATTTTGGAAATCCATATGTACATCTCATATGTCATCCCCTGAAGATCATCTACACCAAAAATAAAGAGAATGCGAAACTATATGACCTTTGAATAAAAAGAAAAGTGCACGAAATATAGATTTTTGAATTAATGCGGGTAATGAGAACATCAATCGACTAAATGGGTCTACGAGTTATATTTCGGTAATCCAACCGTACATCTCATAGGTCATTCCTTAAAGATCATCTATACCAAAAAATAAAAAGAATACAAAACTATATGACTGTTGAATTGAAAGAAAAGTATCCAAAATACAAATTTTTGAATTAATACGGGTAATGAGAACATCATCCCACTTTATGGGTCTATGAGTTATATTTCGAAAACCCAACTATACATCTCATAGGTCATCCCCTTAAAAATCATCTCTGCCAAAAATGAAAAGAATACGAGACTATATGACTGTTGAATTGAAAGAAATGTTCCCAAAATATGGATTTTCGAATGAATACGAGTAATAATAATATCATCTCACTTTCCGAGTCTACAAGTTATATTCAAAAATCTAGCTGTACATCTCATAAGTTATCTCTTAAAAATCTTCTCTGTCAAAAAATGAAAAGAATACGAAACTATATGACTGTTGAATTGAAAGAAAAGTTCCCAAAATATAGATTTTCGAATTAATACAGGTAATGAGAACATCATCCCACTTTATGAGTTTACGAGTTATATTTTGAAAATCCAACTATACATCTCATAGGTCATTCCTTAAAGATCATCTGTGCCAAAAATAAAAAGAATACGAAACTATATGACTATTGAATTGAAAGAAAAGTGCTTGAAATACAGATTTTCGAATTAATACAAGTAATGAGAATATCATCCCACTTTATGGTCTACGAGTTATACTTCGGAAATCCAACCGTACATCTCATAGGTTATCCCTTAAAGATAATCTTTGCCAAAAAATAAAAAGAATACAAAACTATATAACTGTTGAATTGAAAGAAAAGTACTCGAAATACAGATTTTCGAATTAGGGTTAATCTCAGTTTACTACCCTAAAGTTTCTTGGTTTTCAATATGTGGCACATGAAGTTTTTTCATCCCAGAGTGACACATAAAGTTATAATTTTGGGACACTTTCATACATCCGTTAAGGTAATTGTTAAATTTATTGTTAACTGATGACGTAACATCCATGTGAACAATGACTAGACGCCACGTGGATATTAAAAAAAAAAAAAACTAAATTAGTAAAATAATAAAAATTAAAAAATACTTTTGGGCTTTTCTCCCTCACCCATTCCGACCCTCCTCCCTTCTCTCCTGTGCACCCGCCTTTCCCCCTCCCTCTTTGACTCCACCCTCTCTCTCTCTCTCTCTCTCTCTCTCTCTCTCTCTCTGGCAAGTCCCTTTCCTCTGTCTTACCTTTCATCGTCGATGTCGTTTTAGGCATATGAAGGTGCGTTTGGTTGTAGAGAAATAGCCAGGGAAAATCTTAATCTGATAACTGGGATCTAATACGTCATTGGACGTGTTTGATTCTTCAGCTATTATTTTCCTTCCGTTGCTTTCTTGCCAACCAAACAGGTCTTTACGCTTTGAGTTCTTATCAAATTTGTCAGCTCAGTTTACCCTTTTCGTTTACTGTTTTGCCTGCTGAAAAAAAAAGCTTAATTTGGTTTTCTAATTAATTTTTTGAAGAAAAGCTCAATAATTTTTTGTATTTTGAAGGGAATTATTGTTGTTTGAAGCCATTTTTATCTGGTTAATTTGGGGTTGTCACTGAACTTAAGAATTTGCATTGCTATTACACAACTATGGTGTATTTGGTGTTGTTTGAAATTGGGTTATGCCTGAAAATGCTAATGTGTTGTTGACTATGGTTGGTTAGGCTATTGCAAGGTTTTCCACGATGACAGAACCTTCTAAAGTCATTCATGTTCGAAACAGAGGGGGGTTGTCACTGGACTTGTATGATTCTACCGGTTTACGATGCTTTGGCTCCCAGCCTGTCTCTAGCTCCAGCTCCGGCACCCAGACCCGGCGGGCCCAAACACCACTTCGACGGTGAGAGCCAGGTGAAGGACTTCATCCACTCTCCTCCACTATGACAGATACAATGAGATGGCGGACATTCTGGTAAATCTGACGTCTTTGGTTACGGAGAGAGAGAAATGGAGTGGGTGGAGTCAAAGAGGGAGGAGGAAGGGTGGGTGCAGAGGAGAGAAGGGAGGGGGTCGGAAGTGGTGAGGGAGAAACGCCCAAAAGTTTTTTATTTTTTATTTTATTTTTAGTTTTTTATTTCATTAATTTATTGTTTTTATTTTTTTATTTTTAATATCTACATGGTGCCCAGTTATTCTCTACATGGATGCCACATCATCAGTTAACGGCAATTTAACAGCAACCTTAACGGATGTATGAAAGTGTCTCAAAATTATAACTTTATGTACCATTCTGGGATGATAAAACTTCATATACTAAACATTGAAAACCAAGAACTTTAGGATAGTAAACTGAGATTAACCCTTCGAATTAATAAAGGTAATGAGAACTTCATCCCAATTTATGGGTCTACAGTTATATTTCAAAAATTCAACTGTACATCTCATAGGACATTCATTAAAGATCATTTCTGCCAAAAATGAAAAGAATACAAAATTAGCAATGTTTAAAATACGAGGTATGAGATTCTGATTTGATCCATAATTAAAATAGGGGTAAATTACACTTTCATACCTTAGGTTTATGGTTTATTTAAATTCCTTACAACATCTTCAAAACATTTCACTTTCATTCCTTAAATACTATTTTATTTCAAAATAATACCTCCGTTACATTTTCCATCCATTGATCCGTTAAATGTTGACGTGGCTGCCACATATATGTCATGTGGCTGCCAAATATCTGCCACATATATGTCATATGGCTGCCAAATGTCTGCCACGTGACGAAATAAAATAATTTTTTTAAAATTTTCTCAAAAAAAAAAAAAAATATTTGAAACCCATTTCTGCAAGAAGAAGAAGATGATGATGATGATGAAGAAGAAGAGGGAGGAAGAAAGAAAAAAAAATATTGTCCATCCCCACCCCTCAGCGACCCAGAAGAAGAAAGAACTAAAAAAAATATATCAGAAGAAGAAGAGGGAGAAAGAAAGAAAAAAAAAATTGTCCATCCCCCTCCCCCAGAAACCCAAAAGAAGAAAGAACAAAAAAAAAAAAAATTGTCCTTCCCCCCTCCCCCCAGCGACCCAGAAGAAGAAGAAGAAGAAGAAGAAGAAAAGGGTTTCAAATTCCTAGAACCCCCCACGACCCTCCTTCCACCTTCCCCCTTTCCCGCGACCCTCCTCCCGTCCCCCCACCCACACCGACCCATCTCCCCACCCACCCAAACCCATCTCCCATTTCAAATTCCCAAAACCCCCCGCGACCCTCTTTCCGCCTCCCCTCCCCCCGCACCCAGCGACCCTCCTCCCATCCCCCCACCCACCCCGACCCATCTCCCTTCCTCCCTCTTCTTCTTCTTCTTCTTCTTCTTCTTGTTTCAAATTCCCAGAACACCTCCCCCCCCCCCCGGCCCGGCGACACTCCTCCCGTCCCCTACCCACCCCGACCCATCTCCTTTCCTCCCTCGTCTTCTTCTTCTTCTTCTTCTTTTGGCAGATGTGGGTTTCCCTTTTCTTTTTTTTTTTTGAAAAATTCAAGTTTTTTTTAAATTAAAAAATTATTTTATTTGTCACGTGGCAGACATTTGACAACCACGTCAACATTTAACGGATCAATGGATGAAAAATGTAACGGAGGTATTATTTTGAAATAAAATAGTACTTAAGGTATGAAAGTGAAATGTTTTAAAGATGTTGTAAGGAATTAAAATAGACTTCAAACCTGAGCTATAAAATGTAATTTACCCTTATAATAGTTTTGTGTAATTTACCAAAAAAAAAAAAAAAAAAAAGTTATAACTCATGTTTAAGACGGTAAAATCATTTCCAAGAGAAAAGATGTTGAGTTGAAAATATTGTTCCACGTACTTTCGTTTTGGTCATAGCTCCACGCCGTTTGATTCCTAGTCCCAAAATCTAAAATTTATCACCAAAGGTGCACCAAACCACACCATAACAGTTAAGTTCGAAAATCTGAGGGCGCTGCCTCTCTCCTGTTTCACATAGACTCTCTCTCTGTGTTCAAAAACGCTTCGACTCGGTCCGATCTCTGACTCAGTGGGTCAAACTCAGTCCTTGGCACCTTGCAAATCCAACTCCAAGCTGTATAATTTTCTCTCCATCTACCCAGCCCTGTTCTACGACGCCTGGGTTTCAAGGGTCCAACTCTTATTTTGCTTCGCTTCGTCAATTCCAACCACTTGCAAGTTGCTGAATCTCCTTCTCTCCAAAGCTCCAATTTCTTGACCAAATAGTGAGGTGATTTTATAAGCTTCAGGGAAAGGGTGGAATAGCAGCTATGGTTTGTTAGGGTTTTCTGGTTTGTTAATTTGGGATTCTCCTAAATCCAGGTTGAGGAGAAGATTGCAAGTTTTTAGGTTTTGGAGGATAAGTCTTGTCATGTAAATTTGGTGTTTTTCCTTTTGATGTTTTGGTAGCGAAGGGGATGGTGGAAGCTTCTTAAGTCTGGGTTGGCGTGAAAATTTGGGGTTTCGCTTCGCCTTTACCTGTATAGAAAGATTGTTGTATGTAATCGGGTGAGATTTAAGGTGGGAAAAAAAATCAGAGAGAAATGTTTTATTCTCAGTTTATTTTGGCCAAGAAAGGTCCTCTTGGGACGATATGGATAGCGGCGCATTTGGAGCGCAAGCTTCGCAAGAATCAGGTCGCCGACACCGATATTGGCGTCTCCGTAGGTCAGTTCTCATATTATTTTTTTACCTTATGGTCCATGTTTATTATTCCTTCTCTTTAGAAAATATAGAAAAATAAAAGTAGCAAATTTTCAGATTTAATTGTGGATTGTGTTGAATTTTGTAAATGCTGGAACAATTACCTTTATAAGAAGCAGAAACAATACAACTACAGCGGTGGAAACCAAATGTATAGATAGCAACACAGTGATTACAGAACAGCTAACCTGGAGAAAATATACCATCATAATTGTAACAGCTTGCCAATCTGCACGAATAAAGAAAAATTGGTTTGTCTGACTCTAAACATACGTTTTTATTTATTTATTTATTTGTAAATCCTTGTGTTCTTTCAAACAAATTATTTTTGGAGAAAGAAACAAAGTTTTATTGCTTCTGAGCACAAAGAAAAACAGAAGGCAAAATCGAGAAAACAAATAAAGTCCCCCTGAAATTGAAACAGTTACAAAAACTCTTTATGCTAACTGTTGCAGCTTTCCAGTCAAGCCAAATAACTCAGAAGGATTATTCTTCAAATTTTGTAGAAACCAAAGCCCATATTGAAAACCTTAAGCGAACTTCTTCCCATAACTTCTCTCCTCTGCTTTCAGAAAATCCTCATAGCCTATCCTATTTCTTTCCATCCACATTACCTAGAACATAACCAAAACCATGCAGCCCCATAAAGTCTTAGTTTTCTTCCCCAGGTAAGAACAACCTACGGATACAACCCAACTAATCTCAAATTCCCTAAACAAATGCAGCCATATAATCAAAGCCACTGGACAACGTAAAAATATGCCATCAGCAGAGTATAGACAATTCTTGCAAAGGAAACACCATTGAGGGCATAGGTTAGAATTGGGTCTCCTTGTATAAGCATGTCGAGTGTTAACTTTCCCATGAGCCACTAACCAAGTAAAGACTTTGACTTCGAGGGGTGCTTTAAATTCCCCTGAGCCACTGACCATAAGGCTGAAACCCATAGATTCATTCCTTTTTTAAAATACGCAACAACAAATTTCATGGACAAGCTGCCTGATGAATCAAAATGCCATCCGCCCCCCCCCCCTCCTCCTCCTCCTCCTCCTCCTCCTCGCGCACACACACACACACCACACAAAAAAAATGCTTCTCACACACCATTGAAATTGCATGAATCTGGAATTACCCTTAACAGCTTGACTTCCATAAACTACTTACCCCAGGGCATTAAAGCAATGGAGAAATGAAAAATAATGTTATCAATAGTCTTGACCTCTTTTTTGCATATGGTACACAGGTGGTATATATGCAAAATTAAGCATTCTTTTTGCATAGTATCACAAGTTTTTAGGTACTTTAACCATTGGAAGATGGCTCATCACTTAACTTGCTGAAATATGCTTTAGACAAGGCCCAATGACTCACCTCTAAGTTTCCAAGACCTTCTCTTTGATCTAGCAGATTGTAAGGATACATTTTTCTATCAAAGGGACCCTACAAAACTTATGATATCAACCCATGGAAAAGAAAACCAACCTGTTTACCCAAAAAAAAAAAAAAAAAACCTACATTGCCGTGGATACATTACGAGAACACTATCTTTTAATCTATAAAGACAATGAAATGATTTGCACAACACAATATTAGTAAATATGACCTCATGCCCTCCAAAATGGCATTCCAAGGACAATGATTGGAGCCCCTAACCACAATATTATAATCCCTCAGTTTTGACATTAATCCATATTTGCGTGTAAGCACAACAAACCAAAAAGAGTTATATTTAAGGAAATCTCCACAAACATTTCCAAGAAGAGCTGCATTTTCTCCTTCTTTTCTAAATTTCCTTCCCGAGTTATTTTTATTATTATTTTGATAGAAAACAAACCTTATTTTAAAGAAAAGAAGGTGGATAGGATTTCCACTGGGCTAAGAAAACTGACTGAATACACTTATACCAAATATGTGAAAAGATATGGCAAAGCTACTTATCCATAAGTTCTAAAGAGACTGAGGCCCAAAATGATGCCCAGAAGTGTACCTGATGCAGAATACACTTATACCGAATATGTGAAAAGATATGACAAGGCTACTTATCCTTGAGTTCTAAAGAGACTGAGGCCAAAATGATGCCCAGAAGTCTACCTGATGCAGAATGGACCGGGATTATTGTAATATAGGGTTTTCTGGTTCTCAAGTATTTTTACTTATGCGTTAACTTTGCTTATGCTCGGGTATTATAAACTCAGGGTTTTCAAAGCTAGGATTGTTTTAGTAATTTAGTTACACAGGGCTTGTTATTCAGTTTTTGTTTTATAAAATCAAGGCTTTGTATTCATCAGACAGACTTTGGTGCATGTCATAATCTATAGTTATGGTGCAATTGTATCAGTAGTTATTGCTTTCTTTTACTGTTGCTTCTCCGCCAATAAAAAAAAAAAAAAAAGAAAAATAAAATTTCTTGAAGTGCAGAGCACACTTAGTTAGACCATGCATTTAAATTCTTTTAAATCTTATTCTTGCATTAAATTTATAAGGGCATGTAGTAGCAGTTGCACGCCCTTACAAGACCTAAGATAGATAAAAAAACTGATGCAGTTAAGAAATAAGGGAGATTTTTATCACCTTCGTCTGAGGTCTGAGCACCATGCTCCGGCTTTTGTTGTCTACATCCATTCATAGAAAACTGTCTAGTTTTTAAGGTAGTTCCAGTCAGGGTCACATGCTTTCTCAATATGAAATATTGTTCTTAGATTTCTGAATACTTTCTTAACTCAAATTTTGTTTTTGGGTTATAATTTGGGGATTTATGTAGTATTATTTTCTTTTCCGATCTCAGTTATTTTTCTATTTTTAGTATTGCTTTTTTTTTTTTTTTTTTTTTTTTTTTTTTTTTTAAATAATGTCAAATTCATCTATCCACTCGTCTAACTTTCATGGTCTATCTTTGTGTACAGATTCTATTCTTTTTCCTGAAGTTCCAATTGCGCTCAGGTTGTCCAGCCATCTTCTGCTTGGTGTTGTGAGGATATATTCTAGAAAGGTGAATTACCTGTTTGATGATTGCAGTGAGGCTTTGCTTAAGATAAAGCAAGCTTTTCGCTCCACTGCAGTTGATTTACCTCCAGAAGAATCTACTGCTCCATATCATTCCATCACCTTGCCTGAGACTTTTGATCTTGATGATTTTGAGCTGCCAGATAATGAAATTTTTCAGGGGTTAGTATGTTCCATTATGTTTAGGGCTAAAGCTTTAGCTGTTGAGATGCTGGATATGAAAATTTGTATTTGTGTGAATTTTAACATTCAGTTGTTTTGCAGTAACTATGTTGACCATCATGTCAGTACACGGGAGCAAATAACTCTCCAAGATACAATGGAGGGTGTGGTTTACTCGACATCTCAATTTGGATTTGATGGTTAGTACTCAAAAGTTCACTGTCATGACTCATGATTGATATCATTGTACATTGAGTTAAATTTGATGGATAAATCTTAATGATGTTTATATATGAGTTAACTTAAATGTCCAATATTTCGTGGTTTATTTTCAGAGCGGTTTGGTGATGGCGATACTTCTCAAATTGGTCTGGAATTTGATGAGGTAATTTTTTGTACCTGCATTGTAGTATTAACTTTTAAATGGAATAATTTGGTAATGGACTGGGTAATAGAATATTGCATGTGGTCCAGTATCCTAGTGGATAGGGTGTTGGGTTTCTACCATGCGTCCCGGGTTCGAAACTCCTCGCTCCCCTGAATTAATGTTATAGTTTCAAACCCTCCCCCCTCCCCTTAGTAATAGTAAATTTCTTTTAAAAAAAAAAAAAAAGAAAGACTGGGTAATTGAATACTATGGAATTACAAGTTACTTCCTTCCGTATGTACACATGGAAATTTAATCTTTTTTCATCCGTGTGCATGGCTTCCTTGAATTTGTGTTGGTGCAGTGAAATTATGGCTCACCGCTGCTTTTACTAATTTGTTACTAGGGTTTGGCATTACAGAATTAAGGATTCAGGGCTTGCAGATATATTCAGCTCCCAAACGATCCTATGAGAAATGTAGTTGATGAAGATTAAAGAATGACTATATGTTTCTACCTGTGTCACTCACCTACTAAAAGTAAAGCCTTCTCAGAATGCTTAAAATTGGTTGGAGTTGCAAAAGTTCACACACGTGCAAGCTCTCATATTCTCATATGGGCTCTTTGGGACTAAGTAAAAAGTGGGCTAGTGGGTTTTTACTGACTGGTGTATATTATTTATCACCAGTTCAAGAAACCATACATGCCCGTATTGTTAGTGTCTTTGTTTAAATCTCTTATATACCCTCTTTTCAGCAACCAAGCACAAAGCCAGAGTGGGATGATTTTCAATTGTAGCTTTTCATCAATTTTCAATGTTTAAAATCTTTTGGGCTGTGCGTGGCTTTCATTGGTTTTTTTTTTTTTTTTTTTTTTTTTTTTTTGTGCTCGTGTTATGCATTGCGTATGCAAGAATCTAGTGGCCTAACTGTTGTCTTATTTGTCATTTATCTTGTTTATGGCGGATTGTTTTCCGTAGGCTGTGGGCTGTTTGTAAACTTTTACAAATAGCTGGTCCACGTTGGTTTCACTTCCTTCATAGACCTCATTAATATAATCTTTATGTTTTCTACTATACAAAACTATTATCTCACACATGTATGTATGTCACTTATAGATGCTATTGTTTTTTGAATGATGGAAAACAGGACCTGTTCTTTGGCAAGGTTGCAGCTCAAGTGAATGATGGAATCTCAGAGTAAACTCTATATCTCTTTAGTGTCAAGCGCAGATTACTATTAATTCTCACACATTGTTTGATTGCACAAAGAGGATCCTTTAAGTTAGGATTAGAGCATCTCAACTTCTTTGTTGGATTGTTTGGCCCTATGCTTCTACCTCTTTTCAAGTAAACAAAACCTGTGCTTAACCCATGTTTTCTTTGACCACCATATCCTTAAGATTGATTATTTATGGAAAAAAATCATAAGCTTGGGTTTGGATAAAGGTAATTCAAACTTGAAGTACCAATAAATTTTAAAATCACGGGATTTGAGACTACAAATTTGAAGTGATAGGATTTGTAAATTCTCATGTTTTATCTCAAGTTATCATGGTAAAATTGAACTCTGAAATTTGTAATTGATCTGTCTGGAATCCAATAATCTGTAAATATGATTACTGGTGGTGATTTCTTATTTTAACTTTTAAGCAAATTTTATTTTTTCCTGATGTCATTAAGCTGCAGAAGAAAGCTATGAGTGGTATGCCTGTTATCATATTAAAGTTGGGTGTTTCTGTCCTCAATGATTTGATTTGTTTATTTGGAATTTTTTTCTTCATGTTGAAGAGGTTGGTCCCTGTTGTGCAGTTATGTGGATGGTTGCGTGGTTTCTTAATTTTTTTTTATCCATGGAATGACTTTGGACACTACGAATTTTCTGATGTACCGTATTCATTTTCAACTATTTCAGTGGTGATCCTCAAACATTGGGCCAATCAGTAACACCTCTGGAAAAGCATGATATGTATGACGGGATACCTGGAACTTCAGAAACCATACAAATGAATGGAATTGAAAACCAGGTCTAGTATCTATTAGTACTACCCAAAAACTCCTCATCTTTCTTTTTGAAGTCTTGTCCTAATTATTCTTCATTTACCATGTATAAGCAAGGAGGTTCTATTCTCTTTTTTTTTTTCGTTGTTGTTGAGGGGCGAGGGAGTGTGATTCATGTACTATTCTGTATAATACAATTCTTGCCTCCATGATGAATATTTTTTTTATATCCCTTTTGAACAGAATGATGTCCTAGCTGCAAGTACTGATTTTGTTACGTATGCTCAAGCTCCATCAACTCCTGGACTATTTGAAGAGCCAAACCTGTTTGTGGTTCAGGAGCCTATGGCCTGCAGTGATCACTTGGATTTCGAAGACCATAATTTATCAAATTTAGCATCCATGGGCAGCTCAGAAAATGCTGGTCGTATGTCAGGTCCGCGTTGTGGGGATGATAGTACAATGGTTTCTCCCAAAGAGAATGGCTACCATTTGAGCGATATGGAGATCAAACAAACAAAGCCACAGGAGCATGAGCTGATTGAATCCATTTCTCCCGTATTAGAATGTTTAAATGGGACAGTTGGTGCATTGGATGGCCGAAACAGGATTGAAGATATACACAATGGTATTGTTATAAACAATGAACCACTTATGCCTTTCCTAGATCAAAAGGATGCACAACATGCAGAACCTGCTGGAGTTAGGTTTGATGAAACTGTTGCATCTCCTAGCTGCTCCCAGGTCACATCTGAGTTGGACGACCCTGCTCGTAAGATTAGTTCAAGTAATTCCTGTCCGAGAGCGTCAGAAGATTATTTGGAATATCAGCAGACATGTTTAAAGCCTGAAATACAGAATGATGTTGAAACTGCTAATAATATGGAACAATCATGCATACCTAACATTACAGATCCTTTTAAGCCTGTTACTCATGAAGATACAGCATCTGCTGAAGTGCCTGTGCTCCGGGCGTGTGGCTCCCTCCCGAGTCATCGTGATATGCTATCTCCTGCTGATAAAATTTCGGAAATCCCCTTCAACTTACCATCTGAGGTTGTAGGGCCAAGTTCATTGGACAATGCAACATCTTTGGACAATCAATTGGAGAACTTGGATAGGTTTGCCACTTCTAACTTGCCTGCACCTGAAAAGTTGCTCTCTGTACCAGAGGGGTTCACTTCTAAACCAAGTGATTTTCTAGTGGAACCTACTCCTGAAAAAGAAGTCATAGGTGGGGATGCTGGTGATGGTGATGGGATTAAACTCATCTCAGGTAAAAAACGTAGTTCCACAGAAAGTACACTGACAGTGCATAGTTTGAATTCAGTTGAATCATTTGGGGAGGCCCGAGGAGAGAGAACTGCAGAATCTATCCCTGATGATGATGATTTATTGTCTTCTATTTTAGGTATCAAAAGGATTCTTTCTTCATGCCTTCAGAAATTTGTACATGTCATTTTGTGTTATGACCAAGAGTTGATAGATCAGTCTGGCATTTATCCTTTTCTTTTTCCTGAATTTTTGTTTGAAAGAATTTTCTAAGGCTTATATGATTGACTAAACTGAAAATTATTGTTGATTCAGTTGGAAGGTCTTCAGTTCTAAAAATGAAACCCACTCCGCCTGCACCTGAAATGATATGCACTAAACGCTCAAGAACTGCTGCCCGCGGTACTGCCTCAAAGAGGAAAGTGCTAATGGATGATACAATGGTCTTGCATGGCGAGTATGTGATAATTTCCATATATCTACATTGTTTGAATTACAGCTACCAACTAATTTTTACTGAGCATAAGAAAAGTGTTTCCTTTTGAATATTTGCTGCTTGTTTTAAGACCTCCACAATATGAAAAGCCTATACTACTATGTATAATTGAGATTTGTAGTCGCATCCACCTCAACATATTTTGACATAGAAGTTAATGGTGGGTCTCTTTGGGCAATTAGCATGTTCTGATGGGAAATTTCACATTTTGTTCTTTTGAAGTATATTATCGGTAGTTGTAATGATTATGTTAGTAGAGTGGGACCTGACTAACTGGTAGTTACTTTAGTTACTTAGTAAGTTTTGAGATGAAAATAATCGTGCTGAGCATGCTGGACCTGTTGTATAAGCTGTTGTGTGCTACATTACTAAGCGCTAACTACTTGCCTGCCGGTTTTCTGAAGTCAAATACGCCAGCAGCTGACAAATACTGAAGACATACGTCGTGTGCGAAAAAAGGCTCCTTGTACTAGCCCAGAAATTTCAATGATTCAGCGACAATTTTTGGAAGATGCAATTTTTACTGAACCCATATTTACTGGTACGATAATTATACTTAGAGTATGTATATCCAATTACTGCATGTCTTTTATTGGTTTATTTTGGAAGACCAGTAGAAATGTGAACAATTGATATACTTCACAAAATCTGTACAAGCCACCTGAATTGGTTTTGATGTTTATCAGGCATGTCGGCGGAACTGATTTATCTGCACACCGGAACATTTGATACAAGTTCAACCAGGGTTTCCGAAAATGAGCAAAACAATGTTTCTGCGGAGCCATTGAACGATGTAGAATCATTTCTGGAGCCAAATGTTACTAAAGAAATTGAACCCCTTCGAAGCACTGAACCTGTAATAATGAGTGATGACTCAGCAGCACAGCCTGCTGGCTTTCCTATTGAGAACGAGAACCAGAAGGAAGAAGATCATAACCTAAGATCTCACCATACTGATGCTCAAGAACAGGGGATCGCTGACCTGGAAGAATTTAATACTTCCAAACATGAACCCTTGGGGGAGATAGCTGAAATGGAAATTGACAAAGAAAATTTTGAAGTTGCTGATCCTATTGTAGAAGATATTTACAGGGCGTCAGCTGATGTTAATGTCCGGTCAAGGCTTATGGATAAAACTGATGATGAAGATGTGTTGCTACAGATGGATGCATTATGCAGGTCACCAAATAATAAGTTGGACACCCAACCCATGGAGGTGGATGCATTGATAGTGGAGGCAAGTATCCAGAAAGAAGTTGATGCCATTGAAGTTGTTGACCGTAATGTCAAAATCAGAGCAGATGTTCGGATAGGTGCGTCTGAACTCACCGACAATGTAAATGTTACGCTCTCAACTGGAGAATCCAAAAACCTTAGTTTCTCAGATTATCAACCTGTGGAAGGAATTGGAAATAGTGAGCAACATATTGTGAATGAAACTGAGGTCCTGGAGGCAAACTTGCATTGTGATGACAATGCTTCCTTGAATGGTAAGGAAAGTCTTGGTTTTCGGGAGGTTGATCCACAGAGTGGCATTGATGCAGTAGTTGCTGCAGTTGCAGAAGATCGTGGTGTAAGTTGTTAACATTCATTATTTTTAGTTCTGAAAGTTATTTGGAATGTCTCTTACATATGAAAAGAAAGTTTTTTTATTTTTTATTTTTATTAAATGTCACTTCAAAGGGAAAAAAGAAACTCAGTGCATGTATTCTTATTTTTCTTGGGGACAGAAACATGTTGTACACACGTACACTATATTTGGCTTCGTTTAATTGTTATAATTTTACACCCACACGCTGGTGATCCCCTATATCTATTAGAACCAAATAAAAACTTATTCCTTGAACAAGTATTTGATCCATTCCTTGCCTGGCAAAACTACCTTCTGAGCCATATTTTTTATGATTACCATATTTACTCCTGATTCTTTTGAGAATTGTCTGATTGAAGTTCCATAATAATGATATTGAAGATGACGTGACTTTGTAATGCTGTTCCTTAACTATATATGTTTTTGCCTGGAAGATAGGCATTGTCTTCTGGAAACAGGGTCATTTTGTGCATTAGTCATTTTGCTCTCTTGTCCCAAATTCCATTTCAAGATATGTCCCTTTCTAAAGTACAATTCGTGCTTTTAACTTCACATTGTGGCTATATTGTGCAGGATTGTGAAGACGTAGGTTTTGGAAATGATACAGGTTGACTTTGTCTTCTTCCTGCCTTCTTGACTCTTTCCATTTATCCATTGGACTGTCTTATTTATTATGTACCTGCTTAGGACCTATTGGTATGAACGTTTTGTCTACATGGATTATCCACATAGCACGGAACTATTTATGCATTTTATGAGTGTACTCTTTGTACTTTTTTGGCACTTCCAAATTTCTTTTTAACTCTGTGGACTTGGCGCAAATCACCTGGAGCATAAATGAAGATTTGTCTGTGCTTGCATATTTGATGACTATGTGCTTCCTTGTATTAGTATTTTTGCATTTTAAAGTAAAATTCCCTTTTTCCCTCGCACTTATGTGCTGGAGTTCCTTTGAATAACATATGTTATTGTTCTTCTCAGAGTTTTTGAATGTGGATGATGATGAAATAACTGAAGATGTCGATGACATGCCGTGCGCTGAAGATACTCGTCTTCTTGAGAACAGTGGATGGTCTTCCCGTACCAGGTATGCATGCTTCGTATGGTTGGTTCTATGTTTAATGCATGCTGCTATTTTCATTTTATTGCAAGACAGTGGAATTGCTTTTTCTGGTTTGCATGACCTCATTGAAGGTGATACTGACAAGTTTGTGTGTTTGAAGCATTGTTACAAGATGAAATTTTTTCCATATTTCGATATAATAATTTTGAATAATAAAACCCTAAACCCTCTCTCTATCCACTTGGAGAAAATGGTTGTGTACTGGTAAACAGGTTTTTCATAATGCTCATGCTTATAGAAACAGAAAACTTTCTCTTTAAGTTTTCTGATTGTATTGAATGAATAAATCAGTTACACAGATGTGAATATATATAGCCTTAGCTGTCTTAGGCTAGTTACAAGAATACCCTCAACTATCTTAACTAATTACAGTAACTAACAAAACTAATTACATTTAGCTTTATCATACTATTTAACAGTAACTACATTGGATGACTTGTCATTTGCCCTATTACACCCCCTCAAGCTAAAGGAGGAATCAGTGAGGATTCCAATTGGAAGCTTGGAACAGAGAAAAGAGAACCTGCTCTTAGACAAAGATTTGGTGTGAAGATCAGCCAATTGGTCTTCACTACAAACATATTGAACTTTGATGAGATTTGCAAGAACTAACTCCCGGATATAGTGATAGTCAATCTCAACATGCTTGGTTCGAGCATGAAAAATAGGATTAGAGGCTAAAGAGATTGCAGAGATATTATCACACCATAGTGTAGGTAGTGTAGGAAGAGGGAAATGAAGATCTTCGAGAATTTTGCAAACCCAAGTGAGTTCTGCTGCAGTATGGGCTAAAGAACGATATTCAGCTTCTGTAGAGGAACGAGCAACAGTGCTTTGTTTCTTTGCACTCCAACTGATGAGATTAGAGCCAAGAAAAACACAATAACCACTGGTGGACCGCCTGTCAAATGTGCAGCCAGCTCAATCAGCATCAGAGTAAGCTGAAAGAGCGATAGGACCTTTAGTAAACCATAAACCATGAGAAATAGAACCTTTAAGAAATCTGAGAACCCTTTTTGCTGCTTAAAGATGTTGTTCTCTTGGAGCATGCATAAACTGACATATCTGATTTACAACAAATGCAAGATCTGGTCGAGTCCAAGTGAGATATTGTAATCCACCAACTATAGAACGGTATTCAATGGGATTGGATAAGAGAGGCCCACTGTGGTCCAGTTTCTGAGACCCGAGAGGAGTGCAACAAGGTTTGGCACCTTCCATATTTGTTTTCTTGAGGAGATCAAGTAAATACTTGGTCTGATGGAGAAAGAGGCCATTGGGAGATCTGTGAACTTCCAATCCCAAGAAATAGTGTAAAGGACCAAGATCTTTCACTGGAAACTGAGTGCTAAGTTGCTGGATAAACTGTTGACAGAGTTGAGAATTGGGGCCAGTAACTAGAATATCATCCACATAAACAAGAACAATGACTAACTGAGGTCCATTAAGGACAAACAAAGAAGCATCAGATTGGGATTGGTGAAACCCAAGTGTATGAAGGGCTTGAAACAATTTATCAAACCAAGCTCGAGGAGCTTGTTTAAGACCATATAAGGATTTCTTCAGCTTGCCAACAAAATGGGAAGAGTTGGAATCAATAAAACTTGGGGGTTGTTGCATGTAAACAACCTCCTTTAAGTCTCCATGAAGGAAGGCATTGCTAATGTCTAATTGATTCAAGAACCAATTATATTGGACAGCAAGTGTAAAAAGAATTCGAATGGTAACGGGTTTAGCAACAGGACTGAAGGTTTCTTGAAAGTCAACTCCTTGTTGCTGATGAAAGCCCTTTGTCACCAAGCGGGCTTTGTGTTTGTCAAGAGTGCCATCTGGATTTTTCTTGACCCGGAAAACCCATTTACAACCAACTACATTCTGAGAAGGATTGAGGAGGAACAAGAGACCAAGTTCCTGTGGAGATTAAAGCATTATATTCAGCTTGCATGGCAGCTCTCCAGTGAGCATGCTTTGATGCTTGCAAATAAGTACTAGGAACAAAGTCAAGATCAACAAGAAGTGGATGTTTGGTTGCTGAATAAGCTCGAGACTTGTATATTCCAGCCTTAGATCTTGTAATCTGTGTATTCCCAGAAATTGGTGGATGACTTGGCTGAATAGGCACTAGAGAAGAATTACTGAGAGAGACAGAACTGGAAGAACTGTGAGAATGATCCACTGACTGAGTGCATGAAGGAACCTCAGGTGGAGGTGAGATCTGAGGAATAGGAGTAGGTACAAAAGGACATGGTGATTCTGAAGAGGTACTAGTTGAAGGAGAACTGGAGAAATATTTGCGGAAGTGAAGATCCAAGGATGGAGAATATGCTGGAGATGAAGTCTCTGAAATGGAACTGTGACTCAGCAGGGACTTGAATGGATAAGATTGTTCATCAAAGACAACATTTCGAGATATGTAGATCCCATTTGTCACGGGATCAAGACACCTATAGCCTTTATGTTGTAGACTATATCCCAAAAACACACAACTTTTGCTTTTAGCATCCAGTTTGCTGGGAATGTAAGGCTTAAGCCAGGGATAACATTGACAGCCAAAAACTTTCAGTTTAGAGTAATCTGGGTGTTGTTTGAAGAGAAGTTCCCAAGGAGACTTTGTAAGACCAGAAATAGGAAGCCTATTAATAAGATATATGGCAATGGAGAAGGCTTCAACCCAAAACGCTAGAGGAACATGAGAGGCAACAAGTAATGTTCGAGCTGTCTCAACAAGATGTCGATGCTTCCTCTCTGCACAACCATTTTGTTCAGGAGTATGTGGACAACTAAATTGATGTAATATACCATGTGCACTAAGAAAAGAAGCAAGGGAGTGACTGGTGAATTCACCCCCTGAATCTGAGCGCAGAATCTTGATTTTATTTCCACTGAAGTTTTCTACATAGCTTTTGAAAGTAACAAATGTAGAAAATACATCAGATTTGGACTTAAATGGAAAAAACCAACTATATTTGCTAAAGTCATCAACAAGAATGAGGTAATACTTGAAACCACTATTAGATGTAACAGAGGCAAGTCCCCAGAGATCACAATGCAGAAGTTGGAGACTTTGAGTTGTTGATGAAGAAGCCACTCCAAAAGGAAGCTTGTGGTTCTTAGCAAGTGCACAATCTGAGCAGAAAAAATCAACACTCTTCTTGCCTTTAGTGCAAGATTATTGGTAGATATAACCCTTCTGAAAATGGAGGAGGAAGGATGTCCAAGGCGCTTGGGCCATAGTGTGACAGGTGCTTTGATGCTAAGAAGAGCTGAGGGAGAAGTATTGAGACTAGTGGAACCTTGGAGAGGATAGAAACCATCCCTAACAAGGCCATGCAAAAGCATCTTCCCCGAAATGCGATCCTTGACAGTGGATCCATAAGGGTCAAGAGTCAATGAACAGTAATTATCCTTAAGAAACTGATAAGCAGACAGGAGATTGTGTTTCATGAAAGGAACATGTAAAACAGTGCTCAGTTTAAAGGAATTATGTGGAGTGTGCAGAGATGATGAACCAATATGATGAATAGACAATCCTTTACCATCGCCAATGTAGACTTTGTCCTCTCCAATGTAGGGAGTAGGAGAAGAAATATTGGCTACATCATTGGTGATGTGGGAAGTGGCGCCAGAGCCAATTAACCAGGGCTAAGATGGTTTGACTGAATGATGCGCACACATAGCAGCAAGTTTGGCTGGAGGAATTCGACCACAGATGTCCGGATTCATACGATCAAAGCAGTCAATTGCCTCATGACTTGTAGAACCACAGATCTGACGAGGAACTTTGAAGGTGGAAGAACCTTGATAATGGCGAGATCCTTGATAATTTCGATTGCCACGATTTGTAGGGAAAGTACCACAAGAATTATGAAAATTGCGACTGCTGCGATTGGAAGAGAAATTACCTCGATATGGCTTACCACGATTTGAGTTAAACCGAGAAGCAGAGTGAAGTGGTTGATTTTGAGCAGCAAAGGCAGATGGAGTAGGAAGCAAGGGAGGTTGAGAGTGTACGGAAAATGCTTGAAAAGGCTCAGTAGCAGAAGATGGAATAATAGGCCAGCGGCGAGCCATAGACAACTCTTTGGTGAGTAAGAGACCATGGAGCTCATCAAGGGAGGTAGAAGATAACCACAACATGATTGAATCAATAAAGGATTCGAATTCATCAGGCAATCCATGAAGTGTAGCAGCAATTAGGTCACGATCGGACACTGAGGCACCAGCAGCTTGCAAGGAATCAGCAATTTCCTTGATTTGTTGAAGATAATCAGAGATGGATTGAGAGCCCTTCTGAATTGATTGGAGTTGCGATCGCAATTGGTGAATGTGAGCCTCTGGTGAATTGATTGGCACCAGCAGCTTGCAAGGAATCAGCAATTTCCTTGATTTGTTGAAGATAATCAGAGATGGATTGAGAGCCTTTCTGAATTGATTGGAGTTGCGATCGCAATTGGTGAATGTGAGCCTCTGAAACTCCACCAAAGCGCTGTTCAAGTTTCACCCAGAGCTCGCGAGAAGAAGAAACACCAACTGTGAATGGAATGATTTCTTCGGAGAGGGTAGAATTAAGCCAAATCAAAAGATTTTGATCCTTTTCATACCAATCCTCAAAGGCAGGGTTCATCGAGCGATCAGGCAAGAATGGCGAAGGACAAATCTCAGTGCCATTAATGATACCAAGAAGTTTGTATCGGCGGGAAATGGGAGCAAACAGTGCTCGCCATGGCAAATAGTTGGATCGTTTCAGCTTGATCGGCACCATACTGCCAATGTTGTGAATCGTAAGAGAGGTATACGAGTTCAAAGGACTGGGATTAGAGGAAGAATTAGGGTTTTGGACCGAAGGAGAGATGATCGGAGAAGACGATCCAGTTGGTGGCGAGTCAAATTGAGCAGCCATATCTTGAAGAGATCAAGATTCAAGAGAGATCGAAGACAAAAAGGCAAAGAATCAGAGAGAAGCGATCAAGAAGCGATCGATTTGTCAAGCGGAAGAGAAGGTCGGTGCTGGGAAGCAGAATGGCCTGATACCATATAGAAACAGAAAACTTTCTCTCTAAGTTTTCTGATTGTATTGAATGAATAAATCAGTTACACAGATGTGAATATATATAGCCTTAGCTGCCTTAGGCTAGTTACAAGAATACCCTCAACTATCTTAACTAATTACAGTAACTAACAGAACTAATTACATTTAGCTTTATCATACTATTTAACAGTAACTGTACTGGTAAACAGGTTTTTCATAATGCTCATGCTATACAATTCCCAAGTTAAAATTGCTGATTGTGTTTCTGTGATATTGATTATCTATTATTTGTCATTAGACATTCTGATATCAGTTTTCTGTTATTATTAAAAACCAACTCTTGAGTTTCGTATAGGGCTGTTGCCAAGTATCTCCAGACTTTACTTGATAAGGAACCTGCGCATGGGAAAAAAGTTCTTGGCATGGACAGTCTGTTAAATGGTAAAACTCGAAAGGAAGCATCAAGGATGTTTTTTGAGACATTGGTAAGTGTTATGATCAATGTTATCTGGGTGATCTGCTAAATTAGTCACGAAGGACTTCATTAATAAGGATGATAGCGTATTCTTATATATATTATATGTAGTACAATGTTGGGAACCCCAAAAGCATGTAATGAAATTAACTGAGCTAAAGAAAAATCTTTGAAGATAGGTTAGAGCATGTGACATCATTAATTTTACAAGTGAAGGAAGATATTGAACTATCAATGGAAGGTTTAAGTTTATGTATCTTTAATATATATATATATATGTGTGTGTGTGTGTGTGTGTGAGAGAGATGGTTCAGATCGTTGAAGTTCAATGAGAGGTGGCCCTACAACTAGTCCCCATTTTTACCCAATCCTTTTGGATAAAGGGCCTGTATATATATTGTTGAAAAATATTTGGTAAATAATTTCTAGTCTAACTAGTTTAAGCCTAATTGATAACAATTTTGTTTTGGTTTTATTTTAGCTTTTGTTTTGTGTACCATTCCCTATGCATTTCTTCCACAACCCTCGCACACTTCTTCCTCCATGCTTCATTTCTCATTTCTCCCATGTAAACGCCCCTTACATGTCTCAAATTGAAAATGAAAACGAAAATAGTAATAAAATAAGGCTTAGTATGCATTAAGTTTAATACTGTGTTTTCGTATATTTAAATGTTATTGTCCAAATTGTGGGTGTGTAGTTTGAAATGCTTAATAATCTGGTTCGATCGTGGTTGTGCTCACGGTTTTGCAGGTTCTTAAGACAAGGGATTACATCCATGTGGAACAGGCAAAGCCCTTTGACAACGTCAGCATAAGATCTCGAGTAAAACTCATGAAGTCAGAGTTTTAATATCTTACATAGGAAAGGCAGATATTGTTGAAAAGCCTTTACAGTTTAGTTTGTGTGATGCTCGATTAAGAATTGGAACATTCTTTTCCTTCATTAGGTATTTTCTCAAAAGAATCTTCCTTTTTGTTCGTAAAAAAATGGTTCCTTTTCCCCTAGTCTAGGAATTAAGTTCGCGTTAGGTTGTGTAATTGATGAGGGATACATCTTGTTGATTGTAGCGGTGGATCATGTCAATATGATGTATATATTATTTGTAAATTAGTATTATTTGTATCGGTGCTAGTATTTCATTTTCCAATAAAGCCTTGGCCCTTTGACTGTCACTATGTCTAGACTTGACAAACGAGTCATTTCATTCCTGTTTGGGTCATGTTGGACACAACTTGCTTTCTTAACGGGTTGATAAGTGTTAAGGACGGAATCATTTAGCCACACTGATTAATTTGATTCGGTTACCACATCGATTTGCAAAATGATTTAGTTTAGAGGTGCACAGATCCTCCACAGTTGGATGAATCAATGTGGTAGATGAGACGGGTATTTGGTTACCACATCAATTTGTAAAATGATTTAGTTTAGAGGTGCACAGATCCTCCACAGCTGGATGAATCAATGTGGTCGGTGAGACGGGTGTAGTAAATTTATTATGTAAGGCAAGATGGTAATGCCACACGAGGGGTATTCTAGTATCCCTTGCATGTAGATAATCAATTTCATCCCACATACTCTGCAGCTACATGCCATAGGGTTCCGAAAAACAATTGGGGGTGAAGTTGTGAATTTTTTTAATGTTTAATTTATTTATTTTTAATATTTTCATTTTCTAATATATTTCTTTATTATTCAATTAATTTTTTTTTTTGGTAAACTTTAATAATTAGGTGTAAGGGTAAAGTTGTCAATTTATTTGGTACGGTTTATATTGACAGTGAGAACCGAACTGTCCTAATCAGTTTTATTTCAGTTTGGTTTCAAATGGTTTGGTTTAGATTCGAACCTAACTTATAAGCCCGTTAAAAATTGGGTTTACCTTGAAAGGTCTATTTCAATTTGGGGTTCTCAACTCTTTTTTTTTTTAATTTTAATTTATAGTTTTTTCAGCCCCAAATGGGAGAGGAGCAATTTACAATAAGTAAATCCAAAATTGATAACCACCATACTAAAACTCAAGGAACTCCCGTTTGGTTTTGTTTCAAAATCAAAAGGAAAAAACAAATCTCATAAACCAATGACCACCATACTGATATTCAAGCATCCAAATCCAAATTCATGTATGAACTCCACTAAATAATCAATTACACCCAAACACCTAATTTGTTAATTAAATTAAATATATTTTTTTAATATTATGCGGTTGGGTTCGGTTTCAAATATTAGAAATTGAAACCAAATCATTATTTTAACTTTCAGTTCAGTTTTCAAACCAAAACTATTTAAACTTCAAAAATTGAACCGTTTGGTACGATCCGACTTCATTCGTGTATAGGTTTCAATTTTCTATACCACGTGCCCAATCCTATCAATCGATATTTTTTTCTTTCCTACATGTGTTTTCTTGTTCTGCTATATAACATTCAATCCATATGAGCAAGAAAAATAGGTTATTGATTAACAAATCAACTTGCATTGGACCTACCTAGCTACTGTTATCTCGCTTGAAACTACCTAGCTTAACAGACATCTTCTTCAGCCCTAAGAGAAACATTTCTGTTCTCTGCTGTATGATGAACCATCAGTTTGAATGCTTTTCAGATTTCAGATCTTCGAAAAGAAAATCACGTAAATAACCAGACCAAGCTTACTCATATGCACATTTAGAACACAAAAGAGGAACTGAAACCCACTTGAGGACAGGGTTGCAACTGAAATAAAAGAAGCTGGAGGCACAATTAACAAAATTTCCTCTTTCAGAACAAGTACTGAAGCTCCAACAACTCGCCTGAGCTTTAACTGCATCTAAGCAAGTAACATTAACCTTCAAATAGCGTTTAAGAACATAAATCACATCAAAATCCAAACAAGAAAAAAAATTAAAAGGTATAAAATTCGTAGTAAAAACGAAGCCAAAGACTGCAGCTATTTTACCCCATTGATATCAAGATGGAGCAAAAGGGCACCCAGAAAATAAGAGCACACTTGCATGTTGCAAGGAAGGGGACCTAGTCCCCACTTTTCAGGGGCGTGCCTCTGGCTTAGCTATGTAGTTACCCAAGTGGCAACTAACAAATTGATAAAAAAAAAATCCAATCTTCATTTTCTATATGATTGAGAAGCAGAGATGTTTAACAAGCACCACGAACAAAACAAACTGCAAAGCTTCACTTTTATATCGCAAGTCCTCATAGTAGCATCCGCGTACCAAAAACCAGATAACCTTTTTAGGCTTCTGCAATCTCTATTTCCCCCTCCTGTAGTTCCTTGACTGCTCTTATAAGACCCCTTGTAATCCCATTGAGATGTAACCCGTTATCCTTCATTTCTTCAAGCAATTTCTCTGCTGTTCTCCAATCCAAAGCCTTTAGACAGAGAGATTGGATCAACTTATTGTACTCATCAACATTAGGTTGGACCCCAAAATGTTTCATCTCACCCAACAACTTTAAACCTTCGTCAAAATCTTCCAGTTTGCAAAATCCACGGATAATTGTATGGTAAGTCACAGGACTCAGTTTAGGATGCTTGTTTTTGGCTTGGGATAATATTTTACAAGCCTCCTCCATCAGACCCCCATTTGCATAACCACTCATAATAACAGTGTAAGTATACACATCTGGCTTCAACCCCCTACTCTCCATTAGCTTCATCATCTCGATTGCCTCTCCCATATCCCCAGCCTTAGAATAGCCATTGATAACCAAATTGAAAACTGCATTTCCTGGGTGTGGGCCCTCCCTTGTCATCTCAAGAAGCAACTTTTTGGCCCCATCAACATCTTTTATCCTGCACAATCCTTGAACAACAGCTGAAAACAGCTTAATCCCATATTTCCGTGCTTCTCCAGATAAATCACCCAATATCTCTAGAGCTAAATTGACAGTTTCATCCTCCCTACAGAGTGAACTGATCAAAAGATTAACTGGCGAGCGTGGCAGGTCCTGCATCTTCACCTTCATTGACGAATAAACCAAATGGGCATCTTTAGCTTTTTCGCCCTTGCAAAACCAAGATATGATCCTACCGACTCTCTCACCATCAGGCAAGACTCCTGCATCAAGCATCTTCTCGCAAACAGACAGAGCCCAATCAAAAAATGAACGCCTGCAGAGTGCTTCAATTGTAAAGTAATATGAATCTGCATTCGGGACACATCCAAAATCAGCAAACTTGTTGAACACCTCAAAAGCAGCTTTCCCTTTACCCAATTTTGAGAATGAGGATATCAATTCATTGAGAATTTCCAAATTCAACAAAGTATTTTCTTTCTCACCAATCTCCTTAACAAAATCCCATAGAAAGTATACATCTCTCTTCCTAACAAGGCCACTACATGTGGATCGTACAAGCGCATCGAGGACGTGAGTAGTGACTCTAAACTCGGGTTTCTCCTTCAAAGCCCATTTAATAAACCTAATCAAATTCTCACCCAAAACAAGCGGGGTTTCGACTAGTTTAACCACAAACTCAGGATGCAGAGTCAAATTTAAAGCATCAAAATTAGACTCAAGACTCCCATCAGCACTGCTCTGAAGGAGAGACAATACACTCTCCAGCTGCTCCAAATCAATCTCATAAACCTCTTGTCCTTTCCGCAACTCTACATCAACACCCTCCGAACACTTCTCCTGCGCGTCCCCATCCCCAGGGGCAAGATTGTCCGGCTGGGAATCAACATTTTCACCAAATCCCACAGGAGCAGGTAGCTCTTCTCCTTGAGCGGAATCAGAATCCCTAGGGTTTTCTGAGAGCTCAGAGAAGAACCTAGGGTTTTGGAATCTAGTGTAAAAATGAGGAAATTGATCAAGTAGAGGAGTTAGTGTTTTAGAGGAAAGCACCTTGTGGTTTGGATGAGCTGCGGACAGCTCCCGTGCCGCCGCCTGCGTCGAAAGGAACGCTGCTCTTGCTCTTGCTGTCACTGCATACCTCCACATCTCTATCTATGGATCTGCTCGGCGTGCCTAATTCACTTAACTCAAACAGTGAGCGACTGTGGTGTTCATATTCAAAAACCCTAATCTCTAGTGGGAGACGGAGGGGAGAAGTGCAGAAAATGAAACGTGGGCTTTTGCACTCGGGTAAGACCCGTATAACTAACTGCTTCCTCGTCGGGCTCTGGACTGCTAAGTTTAAAATGTTGGGCCGTTGGCCCAGCAGTTATAACATTAAGATTTCATTTTTCAAATCCGTTCTAGTCTCCACGTGGTCACATCGAAGTCCATCTTTGGGTATTATAGGGAGGGACGGAAGCCGAACACAAGTAAACCTTTACAAATCTCGGCCAAGCCAAACCAGCAAAGTCCGCAGCGGCACAATCCAAAATTACATTCAAGTTGGGGAGATGATTCCCGCACGCCCTATCTATTTTTATCTCTTGATTCTTAAGGTTACCCCAAGTTAACCATTTTAGTTCAAAGCTCGGAAGGCGGCGGGTGGCATAGGGTTCCATTGTAGTAGGCAGATTGAAAGAAAAACAGGGAGAAATCGTGAACAAAGAAAGATCATGAAACAATTAAGTTAATCGAAAAATGACAACAAACTTAAGTATCCAAGTTAGTTACTAGCAAAGACCTTAATTAGACAGAATATACAACATTACTTGCAGTTTCAGAAACACTTCTTTGCTTTCTAGGCACTAAGGGTATTTCAACCTACAAGATCCGACTAAAACACCTTCAGCCCTGTTCAAATTCATAAATCCCGTGACAACAAATTCTACAAACAGTAAACGAGCATCGGATGCTGGATCTTTTTACAAGGAGTATTAATTCAGATGTATGACTGACATAACTATTGAGCATTGATATAAACTCATTCAGCTTCAAGTTCGGCACCAAACTGCTCTAACCTTGCAGCATCCTCATCCAGATTCCGGACAGAAGCATGGTTAACTAAACCATCATCCTCACTTGCATGTACTTGTCTACCGCCAAACCTAAATGAACATAATAATAATTAAATGTAGAACCAAAAGAAAATGGGAAGACTAATCATTGGAAATCTACAAAATAAACAATTAAGTTCTTAGTGGCGAGAAATTTTTCAATGTCATGACATGTGGTGTACCAGCTTGTACTTCCGAGCACACTGAAAAATCTCCCGCAGCAGCACCATCTACCCAACCTTACACAATAACTGCAATTGTAATTTAGTAAACACACAATATTGATTACCATCGCCCATTCATCATTTCTATGCACTTCTGAGCATCATTCCTATCCTTGAATCTGACCAAAACAACTCCCTGGGGATGATTCTCACAAACCTACAAAGAAAACAAAATGGGAACCTGAGGATATTAGGAAAGGGAAAAGAAAAAGGAACATACATAGACATGTATGCACATATCACGGAGAAATTCTGAATGCCATTCTTCATCACACACATGAAGGGTATATTACCTTCACTGAGTCCACTGGACCAAGCTTCACACATTCCTCCTGAACATCCGCCTGCAATTCTGGACCTAAATTTTCATCTGCCTGTAAACATTATTTAGGAGAAAGGTTACCAGAACAGGATCAGAATAATAAAATACCCTTCTCGCAAGGCTTTATATATTGAGAAAGTTGTTGTGCAAATAAACATCACCAACTATTGATCCGTTGATACATGATACGCAGAAGGAAAAAACAAGTTTTCCAACAGCATAGACACTACATATAATCTGTTATGACAGCTATCAACTTACCCTCATTTCAGCAGGAGTGAACATGTAGCGAAGAATAACAGTAGCTGGAATTGACACCTTTCCATCGTCATGGCCGGCTGTTCAATAAGAAGAAAATGTGATCATACTATTAGTGTTGTAGAGCACATAAGGTACTTCATACCAAAATTTATGACAGAAAATGTCCGGCAGGTTATGAAGCATAGGCATATGCTAATTATCCACAGACACCCACGTCAGGTTCACACTATGCTTCACTGTAAAATCCGAAACACAAAGAAACTACTTGTGAAACATAGGAATATGCATATGATCCGCAAACATTTCCTTATGATTAAAACAATGAACACACTGCGGGCAGAAGAAAAAGTAGTTTGTATTTTAAATCTCAAGATGTAGAAGAATTTCTATAATATATGACATATGATATGATAAAACAAAAAGGCATATTATTATTCACAAAAGAAAGGGAACAACTGACTGCAAAAGCAACGCATACTACATTTGGAAGACAAGACTAGAAGCTTTAAGCATAAGTGGAAAGGAATCACAATATGAGGTATTCCTTCACCGGAATAAAGATATCTAATGCAAGAAGCTTTCTGTTTACGAATCAGCATGAAAAATAAGGTTAAGTAAGAACACGACTAATATTAATATATGAACCTACCCCAGCCAAGTATCTTCTCTTCCACTTTCTTAAGTTTCTTTTTCCTCTTGTTGTCTGCTTGTTTGGTAACAAATGTGTCCCCTGCATACATAACAGAAGCTTTTAAATAAAACAGAACACACTTGAAAGCTCATAATCTAAGGCATGCTATTGAAAATGTTTCTAATACTGTGTTGATGATGTTTTTCAGTAGTTCTCTCATTTGTATATAAAGTAGCAAAAATTTTAAAATCTCACACTAAAAGTACAAGACAAAAAACAGTTCAACAAATATCATCTGACTACTAACAATTACCTTTCTGCTGAAACTTAGCTTGGGTGACCGACATAAGAACCTTGCCACCAGGGCGTAGAGGTGTTCCGTCCAAAATTTGGGTAGCCAAAACAACCGATGGTTCCTATAGTTTACATAAACGCATATAATAAAATACCCAGAAATGACACGTTACATCACAAAGACAGCAGAAGTAATAAAAAGCATTGTTACCTTCATATAAGTAACAAGTGCGTCTCCCTTTTTCTTTCCGGTTGCTTTGTCAACATACAGCTTCACACGAGGTTTTTTTGTTTCAGGATCCTATAAATTCCATTGAGTAACGAGCTTATATGGTGTGAAGTATGAGAGTAGATATTTATCAATTAAGCTACACAGTGCTGGATGTTTAACAAGGAACACAAAGTATAATGTTCACACTTAGTTTCATGATACGATAACAAGGCCACTTTCCATTATAATTTGACAATAACTCTTAAGAAAAAAGTCTAAGAATTTGGTTGCGGACAAACACTGGACTAAAAAAAAATCATTATGCAGAAAATGATTTAAAGCTATATAACCCCGTAGTTTTTTGCTCTAATGCTCAGATAAGTACAATGCATCTTTAAAAGTTTCCATTCCAAAAGATATTAATTCAATTCTGAACTCAATTTTAAGCATCATTGAACCATCTTAAAAAATGGTACTAAACAACAAAGTAACAACATGAATTGTATGAAAAGAAGAAAACTTTACCTCCTTTATAATCCCACATTTGGAAAACACCTCTACCACCTGACGAATATCACTGAAATTAGTAGTATGCCACAATAAATACAGAGAATAAAACAATGACGGGGACTTACTTCGTCGACTGTGACGTCATCAGGCAATCCGGTTACATAAACATGCGTGTTGATCTTCAGCTCAAACCAACTATCAGGAGGTCTATTAGCTTCCTGAAAGTACAAGTAATAAGACAGGGGGGGGGTCAACTGGTACTGCTTCATAAATCCTATACACATAGACCATTTCCAGTCTAGACTAGCATAACCAAATTTAATAATAGGATCCAATCACATTCCCACGGAACAATAGAGTTTGATTAGTAGGCTTTAACAAATAAAAGATACACAATCATCAAAAGTAAAAGAACAAGATAAAAAGGGTAAACCTTCTTGTCAGCTTCCTTATCCGACAATTTCCTCTTAAAACTTTGATTGCCTTCTAACTCACTGCTACCATTGATATCATCTTCTTTAGAGGGATTGGAAGCCTTTACAGGTGCATTAACCTCTTCCCTTGCGGTGGCTTCAGAAAAATTGGCAGCTGGTAAAACTTCCTCTTCCTGCAAAAAAGTCATATCTTCTACCCCGAAAGCGCTATCCTATTAGACATTAAATCAGTCAAATATACATTCAACAAAAACAAGCGAGACAAATTTTCAAGTTTGATATCAAAATTTTCCTATTTAATAAAATTGGAATACTGATCTCTTCGACAGACCATGGAAGGACACTCGGTGAAATGTTCAGAAACGTGGTACCGAACATTCTCTTCAAGGTTCGCCAATGTGCAACCAAACAACAAAAATCTACTTGTGTGCGTTCATTGGCATGCTACCAGATATACCATGAACAGAAAAACCACCACAAACAATAAAATGAAATATAAGAAAAACATAAGAAGTTGCAGCAACCATGAACCAACCTGGGGAACCCAAGCCCCAAGACCCCGATCCCACTTGTATGTTGTCCCATCATCATCGGTGAATTCTTCCTCTCCCTCGGGGGGCGTAGAAGGTCTGTCACTATCTGCTTGTTCTGCCTCGCATACATGCTTCTGCCATTTGTCGAAGTCATCCTCATCATCAGTTGGGATTGGGGGCACTGCAATAGAAGTGAATAAATTGTAAGTCAAGTAAATCACGGAAGTGATAATCCCAAATCCAAAGAATAAAAAAGAACAAAGAATTGACCTGCGGTTGAAACATGAGGTACTTGGTCGTGATGGGATATTGCAGTGACGAGGTCGGGAATGGAGGAGAGTGGCTGCCATGAGCTTCTTCCTTGAGCCCAGACGAGCGTATGGAGGGTGAGGTATCCATTTAAGAAATGTTCTGTCCAGGCGAAGTAAGTAAGCAAATTAGAAGTGCAATTGAACATGATAAGTGAGACTGAAAGAGTGCTCTATTCAATTGATTACGGGTAGAACTGAAATTCAGAAGAAGGAAACAATGTTGCAGTAAATTCAATTTCCATATCAACATTACATAGCAATCGAGGTGAATCACTATTCTTTCTTCATTCCACACAGACAATAGAATGTTCATATCAATTGTTATTAATAATATTATAGGTTGTACATAATATAAGGTGCTGCTAGGGTAAGGGCAGGGGTAGGGGTAGTGGTAGGGCAAGGCAAACAAAACAAACTCACCCCGCAGCTCCGAGAATGCATAGGGACCAACATGCTGTTGATTTTCGCCCAGAATGAACCATCCCACTTCACTCAACTCGTCCGTCCCCAATCTTTTCTGCTCCCACCCTGCTGCTGCTGCAACTCCTACAAATCAAACCATATCAAAACACATCAAAACCATTTTCTTTATTCTATTCTTGCATTGTATTTGTACATACAATGTTAATTATATGAATACATTTATACAAGTTCCAACTTCCAAGGGTTTTTTGCTCAACAACGATAGGATTGAGTGATTTTGCTCAACAACGAAAATTACGAAATATAAAAAATATGCACGCCACGCACCCGAATGAATTTGCTGCGCTTGCTCTTCTTCTTCTTCTTCTTCTTCTTCTTCTAGGTGGTGACTCTGCAAGTCCTTCTCCAACGTCATCGTCTGTCTCTGCGACTCCGACTAACAGACCAAATTGTAATTGCAATATCTGTAATAATAAACTAATTGGAAAAAAAATAGGAAACTTTGGGCTCTTTCCCATCACTTGGGCCTAATTGCTTCTTTTGGGTACAAACTTTGCCATCCCACCCGTCTAATTCTAATTGAGGTCCAAAGCACTTCTACCGATAAACCAAATTCGGACAAGGGATATTGAATTTGAATTTTAATTGTCTGATTGCATATCCTTATGTTTTAGTCAAATTAATTGAATACATCACTTTTGTTTATGAGTGGAGAAAATCCTACTGATTGTAGCACTAGTGACAATTTAAATGTGGCGATGAAGTGCTTCTTTTGATTTATATAGAGAGTTATCAGTTTTTGGTTGAAGGAGCTACAATTTTGAAACTTAGTTAGTTCAAATGCATAAATTAAGTCTGCTTTCATACATGTTGATCAAAATTACTAGGGGCAATGAGAACTGAATATAATGGGAATTATAGTAGTAGTTTCACAATCCCTCTTACCCCTTGAATCGTAATCATATTGTTAGTAACACCATAAAAATTAAGATATAAAATAACAGAAAACCAAACAATTGCTACTGCAAGTCTGCAACCGTATATACATAATTGAATCAGACAATAAAAATAAGGAGCAAAAATTAATTAAGTAGCCGTTACAAAAGCTTGGTAATTGGTAACGGGGGGGCGGTGGGGATTCCGATACTACTCCCAACGGTCATATTTCCAATCCTCACTCACAAGTCACACATTTGATTTGGGAACCTCTCACATTACACTTCGATAGCCAAAAGAATAAAATGACCGTTAGCCCTCCACCCCGCCAACCCCTTTTTTATTTATAAAATAGGGATGCTCCCCCGCAATCTGGATCACAAACCCCTCTCTCTCTCTCTCTCTCGCTCTCTCTCTCTCTCTCTCTCTCTCTCTCGATTAGGAAGAGGGGTAAGTCACCTGCAAATTCAAAAATCCAGCCTTTCGATTAGTTTCTGGTTCATCATCAGCTTTGAGAAATCCAGATCTAGTATCGTATTTAGTGGAGGCAAACTACAAATTTGGCACACACATACATTCGATAATTGTTCGGAAATGGGTGGCATGTCGATGAATGTGGCGAAGTTGGGAGGAGCAAGCTCAGAGTCGGAATACCACACCCACAAGGTGTTCCTGCTGAGCAACTACATATTGCTGGGAGCAGCCTCCAGCTGCATCTTCCTGACGCTCTCTCTGCGGCTGCTGCCGTCGGTGTGCGGCTTTTTCTTGATCCTGCTCCACGTGCTGACAATTGCCGGGGCCATATCGGGATGTGCGGCGGCGGGGAGCAGGTCGAGCTCCAAATGGTACGGAGCGCACATGGTGTCGACGGTGCTGACGGCGATATTCCAAGGGTCGGTGGCGGTGCTGGTGTTCACGAGGACGGGGGACTTTCTCGGGGAGCTCAAGTCGTACGTGAGGGAAGAGGATGGGAGTGTGATTCTGAAATTGGCAGGAGGGCTGAGCGTGGTGATATTCTGCTTGGAGTGGGTGGTGCTCACACTCGCCTTCTTCCTGAGGTACTATGCCTCCGTTGAGGGAAGTGGTGGTGGTGGCGCTGCTGGTATGAGGAGTTCCAAGGTGCAACAAGCAGCTGACGAGGATTTGAAGGACTGGCCATGGCCTTTCCAAGTCTAACATGGAACATAGGCCTGCTGGATCTGCTGCTCTCCTTTGATTTCATTTCATTTATAATTTTATTCTCTAAAATAAATTTACTATGTATTTCATTCGTTCATTCAAATTCAATTGCTTGCTCACTCGCTCGCCTGCTCGATGATTAGTAATTACTAGTTTCGGATTAATGGAATGGCCATAGAATTCATAGCTTAATTTGTAATGAAAACTAGTTGATTAAAACTTTAAACACTGCAAGTGATTGGTAAAATTGGCAGCCAAAATTGCCGAGGCTTGGTTCGATCGAGCCGCCACCAAGTAACACAAAAATTAAACAAGCAAATCACATCACGCACACAAGTCGCTTGATACATGACTGATACGAAAGCCTAATTAAAAAAATTAAATTCCGCCTTGGCCAAGAAAATGCATCAAACCATCCAACCACGACATCATAGAGTAGCGTGTAGAGCAGCTTTAATTTGAGGAAATTTTTGGAATTAAGAGAAGGCAGCCTTTTTTGGCATGAAGAAAGAGGACCATATGCACTTCACTTGAGTGAGACTTAAGAGTCCAGATCCTAAAGAGCAACACAAGAGTTTGAGAGAGGGACGGGCGGACGATTGCGTCATAAGAGGAAGGAAAATCATTCAATTACTTTATAAAGTGAACCCCAAAACAGCCAACAAAAATAGAAATGATCATCCGTAAGAGGGCAAGGGAAGTAGCAGCAGATACTCATAAACAACACACACATTCATTCTAAAGGGAATACGAAACCAACACAATTCTTACTCTCTTTTTTTTTCTTTCTAGTTTCTAGGTTGACAGATTAAACAAAATACTAGTCAGTGCCAATACAAGAAAGAAAAACAAAACAGTGCATCAACAAAAGTTTACTCCTCCTCCATCCCACATTCTTCTAAACTTCCCAACCCTCTGAAAAGGCACGACGACAAGCCCTACCGAAATTACTCTCTGCTAGACACAATAGGACATGGATAGGTTGGGTGGGTGGCTGGGCGCAGGGGGAATGTGCACAATGCACTCAACTACCGCCCAATTAAACCTTCACTTCTCTACCAAAAATCCAGCTGAATGGAACAAGGGATGAAGCCTTGGCCCTTCCCTGTGCTCTTTCCTCCAACCTCCTGATTCTCGGTGGCAATTTACACACAAAATCTTGTGCCTTGCGTCCCTCACCAGAAAGACCAGTCAACTTCTCCACGCTCCATCTTCCAACCAAAAACTCCAATATATCAGCATAATCCCTGGCAGTATACACCTCAAGCCTCTGGGCAACAGCTGAGAAATGATCAAACAGATTATCATCCTGACCATCGTACATCAAGTGGGCAGGCATTGATATCTTTTTCTTCATCATGTCAGCTAAGGCCAACACAGTGCCATCTGGATCAATCTCAAACAGCTTTTCCACAATCTTGGTATACGCAGTTTCATGACGCTTTTCATCCGAGGCAATGGTGCCACATATCTGAGCCAATTTCAAGTCCCCATGCTCTTTGGCTTGCCTGGCTGTGTTCCCATGGGAGATGAATGTTGCCCTCTCTTGGAATGAAGTGTAAATGAACCCGAGGTAGGGATTGTTCTCTGTTTTAGGATCCTACAGAACAGCAAAATTGAAAACCAAGATAGTATAAATGTAATATTAATTATTCGTAATAATAATAGTACTAACTACTAACAGCATAAAAAGAAAATTTCAGCTATGTTTAACAGGCGTAAGATGCGCAGAGTTTAAATCAGGCAACCAAAATTGGAGAGAGGGAGAATGGGGTAGATGTTCCTTCTTAAGAAGGTTCTGTGTGTGTGTGTGTGTGTATGTTTGAAACATCGTAGTGATAACTCGTGAGATTACATCCAAGAAAATAAGTGACAATCATGCAGTTACAACATTCCAATCAACGTAATCTCTTAATGGCTATTCCTTAAAGTAGTTTGTTCATAAGTCACACATAAATGCTTCATTTTCCACAAGCGGTTACAATGCAGAGGTTCTCTGAGGTGCCAGAAGCATAGTGCTATAAAAGAACATAAAGAAAGACTTCCGTAAACAAAAATGGCACTGGAACTTTAAGACACCATGTACTGTTCACATTCTATGACTTGTTCTCGTCTCCCTACTGTAATATATTAATGATCAGCCAAAAGGTTTTAAGCATCTCAAACTCCGGTCAGCGCAATAATTTAAAACAAAAAAGAAGAAGATAACAGTAGCATTGCCCCTTATTCGACAAGTTTGCATCCTTCAAGATATAACATTAATGCTGAAATTCCTAAGCATGGCTCAGAAAAGTTATCTAAAAATATCAGTGTCCAAAAAATAACAAAAACAGACAAAATGAGAGGAAAGAAAGCACTCACCATTCCAGATCCAATAAGGTACTGAATTGTCTTCTCGATTTGTCTCATATCTACTCGTCCAGAGAGATAAAGATACTTGTTAAGAAGATCACCATGCCTATTCTCTTCAGCAGTCCACGCCCTGGTCCAAATAGCCCAGGAAGTAAGGCTTGCACCAGTCTCATCCCGAACTCCGTCTAGGGTATTAAGCATTGTCTGGTACGTTGGAAGGGCTTCTTCTGTGATCATATCTCCAACCAACACAACAAAGTAATCATCAGGAATTTCCCTTGCTCTTTCCCTCAACTCCTTAACTTGCTCCTCGAATCCATCTGACTCAGGGATCGGAAGAAAATCTTGTGGTTGCCAACATTTCTCAACAGGCTTTAGGTGCACCAAGATGTTATTCTCAGCCCAACCCTCTAATGACTTGAAGATCTCAATCTGTTGAGGAGGCATTGAATGAGTCACCTGAACATGTAGCTCACGTGGAGGTCCAAAAGACTTCTTCAGATTCTCAGTCTCTCTATATAAAGCAGAAAAAATAGATTAAAAATTGGCATACTTCAAATAATGATTCTAACAACATCATCGTTCTGGATATAATTATCTAGAGGTGGGAGAGAGAGCGTACATATAGTAATACAAAGTTAACAAAAACAAGAAACGAGCAAGAGATTAAGATTGCCCTTTTTTTTTTTTTTTTTTTTTTTGAGAGAGAGAGAGAGAGAGGGAGGGGGGGGGGGGGGGGTGTTGGAGAGAGCAAACATGACCAGCCGCAATATACAGAACAGAGAAATCAAATATACAGGCAACTACCAAATTCAGCTGTAAAACTGAATACAACAAACAGTAGTTGTTGCTTACGGCGTCACAGCTAAAACTGAAAAGGTGAAAACTCGAGAACATGGAAAAAAATGGATATCATGGATACCAACCATATCAACAAACAAATATGACACCTAAATGCTTGAAAATGTAAGGAGTAAGTGTGCACACAAAAGTAGCTGACTTTAATGGGAAAAAAGTAAACTAGTGAGAAATCACTAAAAAAACTTTATAATAACCACTCAATCACAGAAGGGGCCATTAAATTTTTAGTTTTAGTTCACTTTTTTGTGCTTGAGGTATGTAGAAAGTCTATGGGGGAAAGAAGGATGAAGAAGAATCGTCTGAATGAAGTAGGAAAAATGTCGTGCACAAAATGAAAACTAAAAACCAGAAACCAAAAAATTATTTTAAATCTGTTTTTACTTTCAAGATATTGCTTTCATTAATTATTCTTTGTTTCTTCTTCTCCCTCCCACCAACTTTCTCCATCTACCCTTTCTTCCATATACTTTCTCCCTAACTCTTAAAAACCAAGTAATCGGAGAAATACAAAACCAAAAAATGCATAAAAAGAATAAGACACGGGGAAAATTGATACATTAAACTTGTATATGAAATAACATAGACTGAATAAATCGTTTAAATAAATGAAATTGGTCAACTTACAGGACACAGTTCCAAAAGAAGGAGTTAAACCCAAGAAATCAGACCTACCCCTCAACTAATGTAAGACATAGTTAAATACAAAGGGAAAACTTACTAGCGATTTTCATATCACTTTTTAAAATATTCCATCAAGATCAACAGAATAAAATTCAATAGCAATATGAGCAAATAGAGGTTTTTTTTTTTTTTTTTTTTTTTTAGAAAATAAGATTCAAAAAGCATCCAATCATCATTAGAAGTTTTTCTATATGTTTCTGTAGCAAAATTGAACAGATAACCATTCATGCAGGTGAAAGACAAGAGGAATTAGCTAACAACCGGATCCCAAAAATTAAACAAAAAAAAAAAAAAAAAAAAAGGAAAATAGGGATACAATAAATTTCAATTATGCTTAGCAACGTCAATAATTACAAAAGATTTCTCAAAAAGTATACAAAATGAATGAGATTAATGCAAAATAGAATCCCAGAAATCCAAAAACAACCCCTGTTCAGCTGAATTAGCATAAAATTTAACAAAATAAAAACCCAGATCAGCAGAATGGTTAAATATTCGTTCTTGGCGATACCCATCTGCATTTTCCCCAAGTGGGCACAGAATCCGAGCACCCAAGATGATCAGCCGCCTACGCAGGCAATGAAAGTGCAGAAATGAATTGAAGAGAAGGAAACTCACTTGGTGGAGGAGTGAAGAGTGGAGGCCATGAAGATTTTGGGAGATTTGAGATTGTGGGACTTGGCAGTGAGGTTGTGAGACGGGAAGGTCAGCATCGAATTCAGACTCAGAGCCATCGGTTCTTTCTCTCTCTCTCTCTCTCTCTCGAGCTTTCCGCTTTCGTGATTCTCAGAGAAGTGCTAATTACGAGAGTTGGTTTCAAGTTATGTGACGTGAGGCTCTAACTGGGAGAGAAGGGGAAGGCAACACGACGAGAGAAGGAGAGAGGACAGCCGCAACCAAACGAGGAAATGTTTGG